CAAATCTTAATCCTAATCTTAATCATAATCTCAATTTTGGTCTTAATCTTAATCGTGCCCAACTACCCTATTTTCCCTTCTTCTGCCGCTTTTTCGTTTCATTGGCGTTTAGAATTAGATCCCAACGAACGTGTCGCTTTTTCCTTGCATCAATGTTTGCATCTGCACCCCAACCGAGGGAAAAGAAGTTTCAGTTAAAAAAAGTTACTACTACAAGGCCAAAATGCCGGCTTGAAATTAACGGAAATCTGAAAAGTCAATCACGATGGTTCCAGCCAAATAAACAGGTGGCGCAAAAGTCGCGATAGCATACGGACAGATGGATCCAAACTCAACGGACGGGTCGGAGGCCGTGTCTAAATATGAAAATCTAAAATTTTTTAGAAGACTATTCGAGATACTATGAAATCATTCCGATTCAATGATACATTTAAATCTTACCTTAGCTTTGAAAAAGGGACATAAAATATATCGATTGGTATTAGATAGACCGTTAAAAAGTCTATAGTGCACTAAAAATGATTCCTTTTCGCTGTAAAATTTGTATTCGGTATTTGCTCTGCTTCTAACTGATTGATTTTCACTTTGGGCTAGTCATGGGCCTTGCACCTCGTATCCATCCGACCGATTGTATTTTTTCTTAATTTTTCGGGATTTTCCAAAACTTTTTGGTGACCTGTCGAGAATATTTATATGTACTTATTCTTCTCTGTTTATTTTTCTGTATTTATTCATGATCTTTTTTTAATTTATTCGGGGTCTTTCAAAATTTGTTTGTGATTTTTCGTATATTATCTGAATTTTGCGATATTCTATGAGAACTTCCAGTTCGAACGATAAATTTAACTTCTAACATAGCTGTAGAAAAATTCTAACAAATAGATCTACTATTCTTGCATAGACTACTAAAAGTCTATAGTGCCTTTGAAAATACTTCCTATTCGCTATAAAATTTTGTACTCTTTATTGTCTCTGTTTCTAACTGATTGATTTTCATATTGAACTAGAAATGGTTCTGTCAACGTATATCCAATTGGTTTATAACTCACTGTTGTCTGCTTTCAGTTTCATTAGTTTAAAACTAGTCACGTGATTCAATTCAAAGTACATTACCCCTTCATTAGTTTACAAACATCCAAGTGGTATCTAAACAGAATAGGACTAGTCCTTTCATGATATTAGTCCAATTTTGACTACAACTGGTGAAGATAACCGTCAAAATTGACTACTTTTTCGGCATTGTAACACTTGCAAGCAAACCAGTTCCTACATACATATGTACGTACTTACATAAATATTTATTAAAATTGTCTATTACTGCGTGTCTGCATGTTGTTTAGATATGTACACTCAACTCAACCCGCCGCTTTGCCATTAAATCTCAATTGGATTTTCACTTTCTGTTCATTTTCCATTTTATTTGTCAAATGTGTGTTGGCGTGCTTATAATGAGAATAAAAGTTACGATAAGAGCTATAATAACAAGACGCTATTAGGATAGACAAATTTTATTTTTTTTTTGCCACATTTTGTTGAAATATTTTTGACCTAGATTAGTAACACCTACGAGCATATACATATATTTATTTACACACTTGAATATGTATAAATACACTGAGGCAATTCCAAATAAAATCGAGAGTAGTTTCGGTATATAATTTGAGAAATTATGAATGAAAACGTAATGTTAATTAGCTTTGTATAATTTAGACTTCTATAGCACCCTACTTTTTACTAGCGTAACATTTTCCTCGATACATTGAATAATGTCTCTCAAGAAATTGTTTTAAAACCACTTCCCCAGATGCAAAAGGTTAAACTCATAGGATTGTAACTAAGTATATTAGGAGAAAAAGCAAATTTGCAGAAATTGTAGGGAGGTTTTTTTTCAAGATATTTCATCAGAAATCCTCTACCTCTTGCACCAAAACAAAACTTGAGAAGTTGAAGCATATCGGCGGTAAAGTTATAGCTCAAGTTGTTGTCATAGCTTGCTGGCATCTGCACAGCATTCGATATTCTGAACGAACTCTTACTAAAACAAACTTATATGTATTACCTGTACAATCGCATTAAATGGACATAAGTCAAAAAAAAAAAAAAATCATCTCTACACATTCATGTTTCTGACACAAAAGTTATTTAAAAATCAGACGTTTCGGCTGCTCAACAGACCAGTTAATCGTTTCTGCAATTATTTCACATTGTTCTGTAAAACAAAGATGCATAAACCGAAAGGTAAATTTTATAAGAAATTAAATTGACAATTTATTAGCCCCCTAAAATTCTTGTGAAGATTTAGCTCAAAATTTATTTAAAGAACTTCGTGAAAGGCAACAAATAATTTAATTTCATTTTTAGGAACTTATTTAACTTTTCTTTTTATTTTTTACTATTAATTTAATTTTCTATTCATTTTTAGATTTTATAATTTAAAAAACAAACATATATATATTTTTTAATTAAATACAATTTTATAACTTATTTTATTTGCTCTTTCTTTTTTGATGTAATTTAGTTTTATTTAAAAAAAAAAAATTTTTTAATTCTTTTATTTTGTTTTAAAAATAAAAATATTTTTTTGTTAATATTTACCTTAAATTTTTAAGTGGGTACTTTCTTCTTTTTTCCGTTTCTAATTTAATTTAAAGATTTTATTGTTTTGAAAAGAAAAAAGTATTTTTTTTATTTCATTTGATTTTTAAAAATATTTTTAATTATTTCTGCTTTATTCGTTTTATTTTTATTTTTTTAATTTATTTATTTTTTTATTTTTTTTTTTTTAAGAAAAACATCTATATTTTTTTAATTTAAGAAAAACTTATTCAAAAGGCATAACGCTAAGGCTCCGTGCACATTATAGCGATACGACACGCGATACCAAGTGCGGTGTGATAGCAAACCGTGTCGCTCGGCCGACACGCAAGCGATATACTACTAGTGAGTACAGTTTTCATCGCTTTCTACCAATTCCTACGTAATGAGCATGTCGATGTTACTTTCATATCGTATCTCTTATTGCATCGCGTATCGTATCGCTCTAATGTGGACCGTTCCTAAGACATCCTCATTAGCAGATCTTTCTATAAGTCTTTCGAAAAACAGTAAAGAGCTTTCAAGATAGTTGCCAGAATTGAAAATTGTCCTTCGTAAGACTGTGGTGAGTTGAAACACAGTTGCCAGAATTGCCCTATTAGTTCAGGTTAAAGTCCCACACTGACGAGCACAGGCTTTCGATGATTCCTTCTCGTAACATAAATAAAACAAAAAAATATCCCATCTTCTTTTTCTTCCCATATGTCCATCAAAGTGCAGACATTAAACGAAGTAGCATTAAAAAATATTTACAGCCCATACTATTTCTTCTGCTTTCTCTCCATCATTTCGCTCCACCATTGCGGAGCACTCCATGGGAGTGAATGTCGCTGCAAATGAGAAAATATGTTTATGCATTCACATATTCATACATACGTACATATGTAAGTATGTTTGTAAGCACATCTAACTATTAGTACATTCATCCATATGAATGAATGCACCTTTTTCTTGTACTTGCAGCGAGTTCATACCGTTGCTCCTATTTAGTGCAACAGCAGCAGCACCAGCAGCACTGGTGCAAAAAAGGAGAGTTTGTTTGACGCGCCGCTTTGTTGCGCATGCGCTTCGATTGCAATTCGTAGTAAAAGTCATGAATTTGTACATACATATGTGAGTAAGTATATATGCATGTGCTTTGCTTGCTGACTTACCAACAACATTAAATGAAAAGTAATTGAATGATGAAAAGTGCAATTTCTTTCTTGCAACTACATACTTTTTTCTTTGTGCAATTTGACTTGTGTTGTGTTGTGTTGTGTTGTGTTGTATTGCATTGCTCGCTTTTTGTTTTACTATTTCACTTTTAATATAGCCGCGGCACGTTCTCTTTTCTACACTATTTACTGCATTCTTTATGCATTTTTCCTTACAATTCTTTTTTAATTTACTATTTACTTGTCTACATACATACATACATACATATTTAGTATGTACGTAAGTGAGGAAATACGACAAAAAAAAGAAAAATAAAAAAAATAATAAGCAAACTGCAAACAATAGCGCATCGATGAAATTCCTTTCTTTTTCATCTCGTCAACTTCTTGTTTGCTGCTCATCCGCTTCGTCGCGCAACCTCGCGCTGCCATTGTCATTGTCAATGGCACTGATTTAAATTCTGCATTTCGATTTTCCTGATTTTCTCTTTGTGTTGTGTGTAAATGACATTGGTGTTGTTTGTAGGCAAGTGGAATTAATTATTCATCAGCGCGAGATGTTAACTCGCGCGCATTTCATTTTTTCCGCGCCGCTTGAGCGCTGCATTTACCCGCTTACTCGTATTTGCTGTTTTCTGTAAAATGGATTCCCGGCGTATACGAGAAATCTATTGAAGCCCTTGTCGTAGTAAATTAATTTAGTAGAGCTATTGACTTACATACATATTTGAATATTTACTCTGGAAACGTAAACTCTTAAACTGAACTTTAGCGCTCGAATCTTGATAAGCATCGGCTGAGGTACTTGTAATATGCGTACACAATTTTTTAAACGAAAATATTCTTCAAATAATCAGAATAAAGTCATCAGGTTGGATATACTCACATATGTACTCAACTATACACAAACGACGCCCTGCTTCAGTGTAAGAACTTTTTTCAAGAATACGACAACTCAGTACAGGTTTTGCGCCATCCTGAAAATGCTTGTGAAATATCTACTCATACATTGAATTATAAACGCAGGCCTTGAAGACTCCTCTCTTACGAAAGCCGATGTCCTTTGTCATGCGCTTTGCCGATTTCTAATTGCAGGCACCGTAGCTTGACTACATCAAATAGGGGAAATCATTTTGAACACATCATGTGCTCGTTTGCTTTTTCCTATAGAGTATTTGGTACGTCCATTGTTAGTTATGCAGCGTTTTTGCTGCATTTAAAATGCAACATTTAGCACTTTCGAACATACATTTTCGAAGAGCGTTCATGCTATCGCATTTAGCAAATGTACATTTACCCAAGTTCGAAATCAACTGTTTATTGTTTACATTGAAATTTAAGCAAAATGCGCCGAATTAAATTTATTTTATTAATGGTGAAATTATATATATCTGTGAACATCAATTATGCGAAAATTGAAGAAATAAACACATCCATATATGAATTAATAAAAAGACGTGCACGCATTATGGAGGTGCTAATTCTGTATAAAAACGTGCAAGTTGTAATGTGGGAATACATCCACTTGGAACTTTCAACAAAAGAAAGAACCTTTGCTCCACACCAGGTATGAAAACAAAATTATAATCACTTATGTATGTATGTATGTATGTATATACATATACTAATAAATCCAACGTTTAACAGAATCGAGGAAGTACGTTTTGGGAAGTCGAGTGCCAATGCTCTGGAGATAATAACTTCAGACAAAATTTTAGACTGAATAGAAGTGCTTTTAAAAAATTATGCAATTTTCTGGATCACCTAAAGAGAAAGGAAACAAGATTCCATAATACCATCTGCTTGGAGAAACGAGTTGCCATCGCCCTATATGCTCTTGGGTCCTCAGCGGAATATCGTAGCATTGCTAACTTGTTTGGAGTGGCCAAATCAACAGTATGCGCAGCTCTCTTGGAATTTTGTAGGGAAGTGTGGAAAGTGTTACACCCAATGTATTTCAACCACTTTACCCTAAGTAGAGAAACAATTGAAGACTGTGTTAATGGATTTGAACACATTGGATTCCCTCAGTGTATGGGTGCTCTTGGTAAGCCCTTAAAATTATTATTTTTACCCAACTAAATAGCGAATATATTTTTCAGATGGATGCCACATCATCCCAGACAGGAAGAAGCAGTCGATTATATCAATTATAAAGGATGGTATTCCACAGTGTTACTAGCGCACTTGTTGATGCAAGGTACCCAGCATGAAATTTTTTAGATATTCTATTTTGCGTATATGCATATTCATCCGAATGTAAATTACATAGCGCATAACTTTTTCTTTTCTTTTAAAGATATCGTTTTTTATACATCAACGTGGGAAGTCCAGGAAGATGTAATGATTCCCAAATCTTTGAAAAGTCCAGCTTAAAAAGGGAACTGGAGAACTGCTCACTTCTGAACACAATGAGCACAAATTTAGGAAATTTTTACATCCCAGTTGTCATTCTTGGAGATTCTGCCTTTCGTTTTTCCAAATATTTAATGAAGCCTTTTCCATTCAGTTTGGATAAGACGCCTGCACAAAAAGCTTTCAATTACCAACTTTCAAAATCTCGTAGAGTGGTTGAAAATGCTTTTGGGCAATTGAAAGCAAGGTAATTAAGTAAATATAGAATTGGTCGTTAAATCCCACTGGGAAAATAGGAAAGCATCTTACGAGGTAAGCCATGTTTTCCTTCAGTTTTTAGTACCAAAATTGTCATCAATGCCAATGCCACCTACTAGTAAAGCACAAAATGAACACCTCTGACGACACATTACTTTGTCAGTTGCAAAATAACTTGCAGCCGAAGTTATTTCCAAGCGCCGAACTACTCCGAGCGACTGCCCTGCATTATGGGTAACTTACTTTGTAAAGCTGCTCAGAGGTATGTCTGATACCAAATGTAGATTCTAAATTCCTACTTACATAAGGCGGCCACGTCTTTGTTAAACTAAGGGAGATTCGTCAGTGAAGTCGTAAGGACCGCCGGGTGAAGTGTAAGTAATGTAAGATATTGCCCTTCACCCGGCGGTCCTTACTACTTCCCTGCCGAATCTCCATTACTTTAACAAAGACGTGGCCGCCTTATGTAAGTAGGAATTTAGAATCTACATTTGGTATCAGACATACCTCTGAGCAGCTTTACAAAGTAAGTTACCCATAATGCAGAGCAGTCGCTCGGAGTAGTTCGGCGCTTGGAAATAACTTCGGCTGCAAGTTATTTTGCAACTGACAAAGTAATGTGTCGTCAGAGGTGTTCATTTTGTGCTTTACTAGTAGGTGGCATTGGCATTGATGACAATTTTGGTACTAAAAACTGAAAGAAAACATGGCTTACGTCGTAAGGTGCTTACTTATTTTCCCAGTGGGATAAACTTATTATTTTAACATATATGTATACAAATTTAGGTTTCGCCGGATCGGAAAAGGAATTGATAACAGAATTGATAATGCAAATTCTATTATAAAGGCTTGTTGTGCTTTGCACAACTTTTTAATAGCAGAAAATGACCTAGTTACACCTTCTTGGCTTAACGAGCAGCACGCTAATGATATTAGGAGAAGGCAACCACAATCCGTGGACTCGCACCAAACCTTAGCAGAAGCGGAATCAATAAGGAATGCGTTCTGTTCATATTTCAGTAAGTTAATATCACGTTTATTTCAGTTCATGTCTTTTTATATTGACGCGAAGTAAAAAAAAACTTTTAGTTTTAAAAAAGGAAAAAGGTACTCTAGAAAAATGTTATCACAATTTCAAATCCAAGCACTTCAGTTCACAAAATCTTACTTTCTATATACTTAAAATCTACTTCAAAAATGTAAACAAAATAATTCAGTGCAATTCTCAAAACCTTATATACTATTTCCTTAATATCTACTTCAAAAATAACAAGTAAGAAAGTCTAAGTTCGGGCGGAGCCGAACATTAAATACCCGGCGCAAGTATTAAATATATGTTTTCCATCTATCCGAAAGCTACCGCTACATGATAAACCGGCGTGTATAAATTTTGAGTAAACTAGCGTCCTTAAATTTCAAAATATTGAAATTTCAAGCATTTCTGAAATTTACCGTTATATGAAAAGCGGTCGTAATTTTAGTCCGATTTCAACAATTTTCAATGGTTTACTTTTATGTGGCAAGCACAATAACCATACCGAGTTTGGTACAAATTGGTAGAACGGTTACCGAGATACATATATGTGATCATAAGTGGGCGGTGCCACGCCCATTTTCCAAAATTTTATCATAAGCGTATTTCCTGGCAAAGAATTGTTGCAACTATCATTTTGAATAAATTAGCTTTAATATTTACTGATTTATCGAGGATTTCGTATTTCTCGAAATTACCGTTATATGGGACGTTATTGTCCGATTTTAAAAATTTTCGGCCATTTGGTATGCTGTAGCAGGGCCAACAACTGTGCCAAGTTTGGAATAAATTGATGCAGCGGTTACCAAGATATACACATGTAACCATAAGTGGGCGTGGCTACGCCCATTTTCAAAAAAATGTTAATATTCTTATTTTTCGTCTAAAATTTATTATAAATATCAATTTTGAGTGAATTATCTTCAGTAGTTACTAAAATATCGCAGTTTTTGTATTTCTGAAAATTACCGTTATATGGGAGGTAGGCGTGGTTATTGTCCGATTTTGCCCATTTTCAATTCCATCCGTCCTACGCCCGAAAGAAGTACACGTACCAAGTTTCGTTAAGATATCTTAATTTTTACTCGAGTTATCGTGTGCACAGACGGACGGACGGACGGACGGATCCATCGATCCATCTGTTTTTGTTTTCCAGATCTGGTAGATGTTGCTGCGCTTGATATTGAAGGGGGAAGTGTTGCCCCTCCCGATCCTGACGGCAGTGGTGATGAACACGACGGTGATGGCGACAGCTGGGGAAGAGAAGGAGAAAGCGGCGAGATATTTGTCGGGGATGATGACATCGAATCTGAAAATGAGTATTTTGAATTTATGTATATAGATTAGTTTTTAATAATAAAAATGATTTTGAATATGCCTAATTTTAATCATGTAAATTGAATAACTAGCAATTACCTTCAAAACTCTCTTCTATCAGCTCTTCCACGTTATTGATGGAGAAGCCACCAATTATTTGGTGCACCTGCTCAAATAAATGCCAAGAAGCAGGTGAGCCTCCAGTCGTCCCCATACCTGCCTTGGCCTTCCTATGAAAAAAACATTACAGGAATAAATATTTTTTATAACTTTGGAATGACTATAGTTACCTATATTTTGCCGTCAAATTGTCAATCTTAATTTTTACAGATGAGGAATTGACATCATATCCTTGCATCTGCATTTCTGCCGCCATCTCCTGATAGACATGGCTGTTTTTTCTGGGCCCCCTCAAGTCATCCACTTTTTGTTGCCACAACATCACAAATACCTCCTCTGCATCTGCGGTCCAAAGATTTCGCGATCGCTTCATTTTTTATTGTCAGTATTTATTAATTTAAGGGCACACAGGAAAAAACTATCAACAAATATGTATGTATCAGCAAAACAAAATGTCAACAAATATTTATGTATGTACACAGAAACAAGCGGTATTGCCACTCTTTTTCATTAAATCTTGTTCGAATCTTCGAAGAACGCAGAGTTGCTTTTAGCATTTAGATTCTTAATGCCAAGATTGAGTTGCATTTAGTTGCATTTAGATGACGAATTTTGTATGGATAAATGTACATTTGGAGTAGCATTTAGAGCTAAATGCGCTAAATGTACATTTACGCGTAAGCAAAAACAGGCCATTAGTCGCCCACAAGAATGCCGTTCTTGGCTAGTGCGATAGCTCCTTCCTTACTATCAAAACCTTTTGTGTTCTAGGCGCCAATATACAAGAAAATGTTACCAAAAACTGCTTTCATGGGGAAAAGTATCATTTTGCTCGCGTTGTTCCTACAGGGGACAAGTGAACAAAGCACTGGCGAGCCATTCTAGAGATCCGAGGTTCGTACCCGCGGGCAGTGGTTTTTTTTTTCTCCTGTTTTAATTTAGTTCTCTTTTAATCCTTAGATTTTATTGTCTTAAAAAGAAGATTATATACTTTTCAAACTAAAATAAATTTTTAAAGACTTGTTAATGATCTTTTTTTTAATGTAATATTTTTGGTGTATTGTATTGTTTAAAATTTCTTATTTAATTTTTAAGAACATACTTTGATTTTCCCTTAATTTTTTAAACTTTATTGTTTTAAAAAGAATTAATTCTTAGATTTTTTTCTTTTTTATAAACTAATTTTTTTATATTTTATTTAATTTTCTTCTTTATTCTGGCACGAAAGTCTTCCGAAAATCAAAATTTTGGCAGAAAGCACTTGAACATGCTCCAAATGGAAATGTGTATCATTTTGCGCAACCTGCTCCCACAATATCTTTTTTTCTAATTATTCTTTGTTTATTTAGTTTTCTTTTAAACCTTAGAATTTATTAACTTCAAAAAAAAAGTCATTTTTTTTCAAATCGCATTTAATTTTAAACGCCTCTTTATGTACAGTTTTTCCTGCTTTATACATATGTTTTTTTTCTTCCTTATTTAGTTTTCTTCAAATTTTGTTGTTTAAAAGTTTTTAACTGTATTTAATTTTGAGAAACTTTTTTAAATTTAGTTTTCTTTTAAGTTTAACATTTTATTGTCTTTAAAAGAATAAATTTTTCGTTTAATTTTGTTTTTTTAATTTACTTTTAGCTTTTAAATTTCATTGTTTGGAAAATAGTTTATTATAATAAATTCGAATTCGCAGGTTCGATCCCTGCTGAAGTCTAGGAAAAAAGAAGTCTGATGAGGAGATGTGGTGATCTCCGAAATAGTGCTATAACTTCTACCGCTTAGACTTTGTTGCATTTTCAATTTTTCCTAATAAACAATCGTGGTACAAAGCTCAATAAAAATATTAAATATAATAAATTCAATTTATTTATTTTTATACGTTTCTTATTTTTAATAAATTTTTTTCTTTTTTTTTAATTTAATGATCTTTTAATACATAAATTTTGTTGCGTTAAAAATAGGGGCGGGAATCCTTAGGAGTAAAATAATTTAAATCGGCATTTAATCATGTAATCATTATTATATGACTTTTATTTTTTTTTTGTTCAAAAATAATAATTGTTATTGATTTTTATTTTTGCGCTCAGCGGAAAATATTATTATTTGATTTTTATTTTTTCGATCAAAATAATGACTATTTATAAAATTGAAAGGGCCATACAAACGAAACCTCTGAAAAGGATACGACGGAAATCACGCTGGTATAGCTTTTGAGTTTTTTTAGTGATCATCATTCCTAAGTGAACAAATAAAACTCAATAATAATTATTACCTTTGAGAGAAAAAATTAAAATCATAAAATAATCATTATTTTTGATTGCAAAAATAAAAATCAAGTAATAATAACTACCTTTGAGCGAAAAATTAAAAATTAAATATTAATTATTATTTTTAATCTTTATTGGTTAAACTCAAAAAAATAAAAATCACTGTAAATTGTTTCGCGACCATTACAACTTGCTGATTTTTTTTTATTAAAATATAAAAAAATAATGATTATTTTCCTTACCTGATTGGAAAGAAAAATATATGTACATATTTTTTATTTTATTTATTTATTTTTAACTTATTGCTAAGATACAAATAGAATAACGGCATTTTCTTTTCTACGCAAAAATTGTGCCTTCTTCGCACAAATACTAAAATACTGTTAATTGAGATTAAAAATGAGAGTGTATGTGTCAGTTTGAGTTTTGAATTTTAAAATTAAATTGCTGGCAAAAGTCAGACAGCCTTTCAATGGTTTTACCTTGTAATGTTTTTTATCATGGATTGCCCTATAAGCTTAAATAAATTAGAACTGTAAAAATAAACTGCTTCGAATGAAAAATAAACGTTGATATTGATTTTGAGTAATGTATGTATTTAAGGTAATTGTGGGGATTTTTCCAAGTTTCTTTGTTTCAACTGCTCACCTCACCAACCACGGTCAATTAACAAATATATTACCGCTAATTACGTTCTTATGGTTATAACGGCATGCCTTGTTTAAACGATAATTTTTCGTAGTTCTATTTTGTAGTTGTATGTATGCACACATACACATTTACCAAAATACAATACAAAGTCTGATGGCCTAAGCTATTTTCTTTAAAAAAAATATTGTAAGTTATTAGTTTTTTTTCAACGCCGCTTTCCAGTGAAATATTTTTTTTTTGCCGACCTTTACAAAAAAAACCAACCGCTCCTGTTGCAAACTCTGTATGTTACGGTAATGTTCGCATTGTTGTTGTTATTATTATTATTATTATTGCTGATGATGCTGTTGCAGTTGGCTGTTGTCATGCTGTGACGTTCACCACTCAGCAACTGCGAATGCGCCCTCGAACCTTTCACCGATCCAGCTTTATGGCAAAACGTTTTTAAGCCTAATTAACTTTCTTACATTTCATGGCAGACTTGAATGTTTAGCGCTCAACGCTCAGCGTTCAGCATTCACCGTTCTTGGCCATTGTTTGTTTTTCCACTTGACCGTATTTTTTTTTTTTCAACATCGCTGGCTGTGTTGCTAATACGTTGTGCACAGCAGCCATTACCAGCAGTGATGACGATGCTTGCTGGTGGCAATGGCGGCCAATGGTGGCCAATGGTGGTCGAATGAAGACTGGTGGTTGTGGCACTAACTGTTCGTCGCCGCAGCTTTCATTGTTATTATTTGACGTTTTTATTTCTACACAATTTTACCTCAAACAAACAGAATTCACGCCAGTTAGCAAGAAAGCTTGGCAGCAGCTACATACATATGTACATATAAGAGGAAACGATAGTGGCCAAGTAATAACAACTGACGACAGCACCAACAGCATACAGCAAGCTCTGTGTGTGCAACAACAGCCCCAACAACAACAACAACATAGGCAACATAAATAACTTCGTCAAAAACATCAACAGCAACGAGCAATGAGCAAAGCGTTAACAACAGCCGTGAACAGCAGCAACGTCAGCAGTTTTGATGGGCTCCAACTAACAAGGTGAAAAGTAGGTGAATGTTAAGGCAACAAAACAAACTACTGCAACAGCAACAACAACAACAACAACAACAGTAGTTAGTAAGTTAGTAAACGGCTGCAAGAAAATGGAAGTAGTAAGCAGAAGTAGAATGCGCTGTCAGTGGAAATAAACAAGGCAAGAACAGAAGATAAACGCACATACATACATACACCGGCGGTACATATATATGTAGTTACATACTCGTAAAAATACATACTGGGAAACAGTGTAAAATAGTAAAGAAATGACGAACGAAGTAAAACGCTGGTGAATGTGAATGGGTACCACAAATCGGTGGCAGCTATATTTTGTATGAATGTGTTAGTACTCTTGCAATAGCAAATAACAATGGCAGTATGGCAGCATAAATAAAACGACAAAGATCTTAGCACATAAACAACGAATGTAAATATGATAATGAAGAATAATATTTGTGGAATCCCTACAGTGAAAAGCCAAACCACACCGCAAACATTCTCGCAGATACCACTTAACTGAGACTGGTTCTTCGTTAAGTGGTATTAGCGGATGCCAAAGCATATTGGTTCGTCCATTTTGGACAACGGTCATTTCTGCGATGAGCGACATCTCTGTCGTCAAATTGTTAAGTCGAAACGAAAATGTATTTAATTGTAATGGAGGCCACCCCTTGGCAAACAATGGTACAATAAGTATATTTCTGCTTCGAAAGACATAATAAAAAAAGTTGCACTTGAACTCATTTTAATGCGTCAACTGAGTGTGGTGCCACAACTAAGCTATAGTACTGCTAACGGGTCTATTCTAATAAAAAATGTCAGCCCTTATAGCAAGGCAAGGGCTTAAAGAAGCTGTTTTTTTTTTGTCAAGGGAGCTTTCGGACATCCTCAGCACGACGAAAATTATAAGCCTGATTCCATAAACCTCAATACAAAAGGCTCTAAACTTGAAAAGAGAATCGAATAGTAAGTTTTTCAGCTGCACAAAATTTTTTATAAAATTTTTGTGTATGCAGTTTTGTAGGCCACTGAATTTTTGTATAATAAAGTACAAGTTTTAAGTGGCTTTAAACTACAGTTGCTTTTCGAGAACCTGTTTTACTGACGAATTTCGTTTAAATGTTTAAAATTTGGGTGAAAATTTGTGGAATTTTCCTAAATTTTGTAAAAACTTTGAACCATTAATTTATATGCCATTTGAATGAAAGAATGAACTAAATTTCTATTAAAAATTAACGAAAAAAATTTATTACGAAAAACATGGCAAATATAAAAAAACACTGTACGGAAACATATTCTGGCTAGTGTATAAAATGACGCTAAAGAAATAGAAATTAAATTTTCGTCTATCAAAAATTCTTAAATCAGTTTGCAGCTCTCAAGAAAAATAATCCTCGTAAATTCATATATTCAGGAAATTTTTCTTGAGAGCTGGCACCAAAAATTTGTTCGGAAATTTCCTCGTCCCCAAGGTAGAACCCGCATTCCGGGTCTTCGATAACACCTATTCGGTGCATTTGAAAACTTAATTCCTGTGGACTGTTAGATACTCGGAGCTTAGCCTGATGTAATTTCTAATTAATTGAATAACATCCGATCTACTGAAAGGGT